TTTACATGCTAATACTCTTGGTAAATGTACGAATCCTCTTCTCCCTTCAGCTATGGATAAATAGCAGGACAGACCAGGTTCTATAGCCTTGGATGGTAACTGGTCTACTGCAGAAAGAAATGGCAACCTACTGCAGGAAAAAAATCTGCCTCATCAGTCTTGTATCGAAAGATATATGATCATCTAAGCATGTATTATGCATGGCACATGACTGATAGTAGAATTACCAACAATACATTTTATCTGTAGTTGAAGGCATACAATTGTGTTCAAAATATATTTAGTTGAAGCCATAAAATTGTTCAAAATATTTAAATTTTGGCATTAAATAACCTATAGCAGTTGATATACTGCTAAACAAAATCAATCAACCAACATGAAAGAACTCTTTCATGATATTAATCCATATAATATCCTACAATTTCTTGAAGAAATCAAACTATATTCCAAAATATAACTTCAATAAAACTACAACATAAAACATACATATCACCACCTCTCATAATTATCTCCACACAAACATGTATATACAGAAAAGCTGAGTATCATCTACCATACATTCAATTGTGAAAGCAGAATAACACATATTTTTATTACTCCAAAGCTCCCAAGAAAATTAAATTTTGAAACTAAATGACCCATAAGTTGATATGCCGTTAAATAAATAAATCAATCAATCAGTAGATTAACTCTTTGGTTATTGTCGTAATTTTAGCAATCACACTAATCAAATGCTGTAAAGAAAGATTGGCCAAAAAGAAACTGAAATATTCACTGTAGAAAATATTTTAATCATTATCAAAAATTACAAGTGGGAGAAGGTTGTTTCTGTTAGTGTTTATATAATTCTCTTGTTGTAGATATTTTCATTATATCTACCCCCCCCCCCGCCACCATTTTTTCGATTTTGATTATTTTAATTTTTTTTTTATTGTTTCACTTATTAAAAAAAAAAAATAAACACACACACAAAACATTTTTTTTGCTTCAAAGATTTTTAAAATCTTTTAGCACCTGTTAGCACTTTTTGTGGGCATGACAATTTTTTTTTTAAGTTTGGTATCTGTGACAAATTTCCTTATATCTATTATGTTATTCTTACAATCACACATGCACACATTTGTAGGAATAAATAATTTTTTTTCTTATCTATTTAGTTCCTCCCTAGGATCTGTCTTTTTTTTTCCTTAATTTGATTTTTTTTGTTCTTCAAAAATAAAGTGTTTCCATCAAAAAAGATAAACATTTAAATTGACCAAATTTTATTGCAATTACCAAGTTATTTTCACATTCTATGACTGTTAAACAACTAACAGACTAAAATAAAAATTACTTTTATGAGATTTCAACTTGGCTGCCTTATCCTTGAGAGTCTGTCAGAAAATGTCAATTAAGTTTAGTAATATAGCTACACACTTCTTCAATCTCAAAAATGCAACACTTATTAAAAAAAAGAAAATAACTTACTTGGATGGAAAGTTCTTGATAGAGCATCTATTGATTCTTCCAAAAATGTTAACTTATGCCCTGGATTTTTTCAAATATCTTTAAAGAAATACCTCTTTCCAAAGCCAACATACATGACCATAAGAATTTTTAAAAAATTAAAAGAAAAATGTTAAAACTTGACCTATTATTTAAAATATAGAAATAATTTATCAAATTAACATAAAATAATAATTACATTAAAAAATAAATATAAACAAATAAGGAAATGAAAATTCAACAGAAATAACTGTTTACTTACTTTTATTTATTAGGCATTAAATTACATCACTTAGCATCCTCTATAGTTTACATTTACTTATATAGTAAGCTTTAAGAATATTTTAGGGCATTCTTAAATTGAAAAATTTTGAAAACTTAACATTTTTTTACTTCTGTTTTAAATACATTTTGTAAAATAGAATCTTTACATTTATTTACCTTAATAAAGCCCCTCAGGTTGAAACATGTTGGTGAAAAAATGATTTCCTTTAGTCTTTATTCATATTGTCTTTTTACAGATATATTTTATTTATATCTGAATTTTTTACACTCTTCCTTATGTCATTTTATTTTTTTTTTATACATCCATGGCATATTAACACTAGCCATAGTAGATATAATAGTCTTAAGTTGTCTAAATTTTTTTAGATGAAACATTGTCTTTACAAATGTTTTTTATGATCCCCCCCTTCATCTTATTTTTATTATTTTCCATTCTATGATTGCTCAGTAAGCCTCCTGTACCAAGAAAATGTCAGATGGACTCACAGGGATACAGGATACAAGTTCAAATCTTATCAGAGGTTACTTTATTTTCTAAGCTACGCTGTTTACTAAACAGTCATTGACTGTAAAACAAATGTGAGTGTTACTGTAAAAAATATTAAAAATAACATGAAAGAAAGGCTAGTTAAAAAAAAAGAAAAAGACACGCATTTAAGTTCAGAACAAACCATTTTGAATTAGTCTGTTCTCACTTACATCACCTTTCTGTCTCTAATTTAATGGATGTTTTATTCAAGATTATTAAAGCTAAAAAGTAGTAAGTTTAATTTCCATTGCTAGACATAAGGAAATGACTGAATACATAGATTATATGAAAAAGTATTTTTATTAGTTGATTAATAGAGAAAGAAAATAGGGTTTAACACATTACAACAAATTCTATTTTAATTCATAAATTACTATAGATATTTCATTATCCACATATATAAAAGGTAGTGTGTGTGCTTGTAGGATATAGTCTCCAAATAAAAGTGGAGAAATGAGACAAAATGGAAAAGCTTTTTAATGACAACTCATTTTGCCTTTGTGCGCTAGGTTGGTGTCTTTAAGTCGGAATGAAAGACAAAACGCTGTATGTTTTTTTTAAAACTCTGTATGTTTTTTTTTTTTTTTTTTTTATTAAGGTTGTTAATGTCTATTTGCTAAGTTGGCATCTTCCAGTCAGAATCTATATATAAAATTCTCTGACTTCAGTTAGTCTGTCCACCCACCCTCTAAAATAGCCATACATTGACTGATCAAAACCAAATTTTGGGGAGAAGTGCAAACAGATCAGCAGGTACAAAGTCTAGTTGGTTTTACTAGGATGCATAGCTTAGTACAATAAATTTTCATTAATTTTGGGGTGAAAAATTAAGTTTTATTATTTAACATACAAAATACTCCTACTATTTTAAAAACAATTTAATGATTAAAATAACAGATACTTATTTAATGAAAATGCAATATTATTTTTTTTTTTTTTTTTTTTGCATATATTTTCTTCAAGCTTTTATATTTCATTGATTGGTTTGTGAAATTGAATGAAACATAGTTTGTAAATCTTAACAAAAAATGTTAGCGATAACTTCAACAATACTGAATACTGTGAGGACTCTAACATGTCAGTGTTGCAAAAAATTCTAGTGAAATTAAACAGCTTCAATTCAAAAACAATGTTATCTTTCATTCTGACCTGAAGATACCTACATATTGCACAAAGGCAAAATGTGTTGTCAGTAAAAAAGAAGTGTATATTTGTATATATTTTTGTGTGTAAAACACTTTTCACAGTGCACAGATACTTTGTTCCTCAGCAGAAATGTTAATGCATAAATAACTCTATTATTTTTGATAGCTGTTATTAATAAATGCATTAAATAAATGTAAATAGAAGGTTTTGCTCATCAAATCAATAATTTAATGCTTTTAGGTAAAATGATTGGTGAATGAAATTTCATAATTGTATTTTTTTTTTTTTTTTTCTGTGTCAGCACATACACCTTTATTTTCGGTCTCTTGCACAACCTTTTGAAGGTCACCAATTGGGCATGGCAAATCAAGTGAATCTTTGTTTAACCTTGCATCTCAGGACTTTTTTTTTGTTTCCATTTTCTTTCTTGTCAGTTAATCTATTTTGTTAGGGTTTTTTGTTTTAAATATTTGAAGTAGATTGGTGTTTCCATCTGTTTTTTTTTTTTTTTTTTTTTTTTTATTATAAATGTTTTACCACCTATTAAAAAAGTACCTAAACTATTATGCTTTTTTTTTTTGTATTTATAAAATTACCTTATATTAGTTTATCTAAAATTTAAAAAAAAAATAACTATATAAAATAGAAAAAAAATATCTATTGAAAAAGGATAAACATTTTTGCTTTTTTGTTGATTTGTATGTTTTCAAATCTTGATCACATCTTGAAAACTTTAAGTGTAGAAACTTTTGAAGTTTAAATTGAAGTTTGATTTTATATACAGTATTAAATCTGCTAAATTTCTTTGTGCCAACAAAAATATTCAAATAACAGATTCTTAGTTTATCAGTCAAAATTACAGAACAAAATAAGACAAAGAAGAGAAATTAATTCAAAATGAATTGATTACCAGGAATGAAAAACTTTGAGCCTTATCCATGAAAATATTCCCTGAATTTCAAGAATGTTTCATTTAAAAAATGAAGAAATACAGACAAAAATTTCTTTTTTTCAGAAAATGTTTTTGGTTGCTCAAGATAACATTTTTATCTAAATATTTTTGAGCTTGAAATTTATTAGTCAAAAATAAAAATGAAGAAATTAGTAGTGTCAGACAGTATTTATTTTGTGGATTGTAGGTTAAATATATGCTCTTGAAAAACAAAATATTGGAAAGTTGGAATCACAAATGTTTGTTCCTTTGGTGCTGGACAAATTTTACAAGAAGGTGAATTTAAAAAACAATCTTAAAAAATATCTTAAATTTTGTGGCAGTTGTGCATGTTTTCATTGCTTGAAACTTGATTTATAGGCATATTCATTTTAATTTTATTTTTTTTTTTTTAATTTTTATTTTAGGAAAATATGGAATACTTATAATATGGTAGGGGTGTTTGCTTGGGAAAGGAAAATTGTTTGTCTAAAAAGTGGTAGGGACTAAAATTTCATTGACTGAATAAAGAGAAGAATCCTTTTTCTCTTTCTCTTTTCTTGTTAATATAAGTGAATTCAAGATGTATTTTTTTATTTTATTTTATTTTTTTTTTTTTTACAGTGTCCTCCCACCCCCATTACCGCACCCCCGCAGTACAAGGGCTTCTTCTTTGAATAGCGCCGGTATGTATTGCATCTAATTTTTCACTTTTTTTTTTTTTTTTTTTTTTTTTAACTAAGAACCAACCAAATTAACAATTTTGAAACCATTGTAACCTCAGAGCATTTTAAGATAATCTGTGGATTTGTGCAAGAATTGTTAAATTTTTACTATTACATTCATTTCCCATATAGACCTAATACACAAGATCACTTCCACCCTAACTTCACTGACATTGGCCAGTTGACTACTTAAAGAGCATAAAATAATAGTCAGGGATGAGACAGGTGTAATAGTAAAATAATACTCAAGAATCTAAACAGTATTTCTATCTGACTGATGAGTTAATAGCTGTCAGGCTATGGATTTATTGATTCACCCTCCTATAGACAATAATACATTTTTATGAGTTATACTTGTGCATGAAAGATCTTTTAAGAAAATGAATAAATAAAACAAGATTTGGAAGATATTTGGAAAAATATGAAAACCGGTTGTGTGGTCTTGCTGTAATTTTGCAACCATTCAGAGGGGATCTCACTGTACATACATGAATAGATCCTTTTCTCATAGATTTACTCAGTTATCAGTAAAATATGCCTTGTATGTAATGTGTGAACATATCAAGTTTTGCTTCAAAATTGGGCATTTGTCTCCAGAAACTATTTGAATAATTAAGTGTAACTCGGATAAAATTTTGATATTGATGCCTCAAATTTAGCCAGGATTCTGTTGAAAGCAGTCTGTGTTTTTGGAAGGCTGTTAATAATCTGAACATCCAAAAATGTTGAATAGGTGTAGGCGGAAATGAAAGTCAGTCAGTAATTAACATTGTAAGAATTAGAAAAATACCCAGGGATTCCAGTTACTTTGAATGTCTTGGGGTCTGTCTATACTTTATATTTTGTCTGTCAATCCTCCTACAGACCAGCTTTGGCTACCAGAGACTCTCCTTTTTTTCTCAATGTTAAAATTGACATTAAAAGGAAGATTTCAGACTGTAAACAAGGTTGGGAAGAACACAATGTTTGAATTTGAATTTCCACATTGATATTTTGACTATTATTTGATTGTATGAAGAAAATGCAATGGAAAAGTACCCTTTTCTTTTTTTAAAAGATTATTTTTTTAATGATATCTTGTAAATTTATGATCCCTTAAAATTTTGCCTGTAGACTTTTTGAGCTGGTATGTTTAAAACATTTTGCATTACAGACACTGACAGATACCTAACAGGATTTTATAAATTACATTTTTGAAAAATTAGTGAAAAGTAGAATCTTTATTTACCAAAATGGACTTTGAGTGTCAAATGTAAAGTTTTCAGGAAAATAAATAAAAACCTTGTTCTCTTTTATATAGGTTTTTGAATGCTTGAAAATGTTTTAGCTCCAGAATAAATGGTCCTTAGTTGCTTCTAATTATGTTTTGCTAAGATTATATCCATACATCAGGGTGTGCTTGATAGTAAAATTTTATTATCAAGCCACCTGTTGAGTTGGCATAATGCAGAGTAGAGACAGATGAGTGAACATTTAATTTTATTTATTACTATTAATGCACAAAGACTGCTTGCCTTCAAGTATTATCTTGAAAACATTAAGTAAACTTTTTTATTTTTTATTTTTATTTTCCCCTTTTTTTTCTCTCTTCCCCTTTTCCCTTCCCCCAAATACTATCATATATATTGTATATGGCAACTAAAGAAAAGTGGTAAAATCTAGTGAGAACTATGATCACCATATTCTGAAATGACACATAAGAAAAAGAAACCATTTTGTTATTGCAAAATTTCATTTTTTTTTTTTTTTTTATTTCTTCCATTTTTGGTTAAAAAAAATGTGATTTCTTGTTGAAAATATAATTTCTCTGTGATTTAAACTAAGCAAAGATTGGTTATTCTAACTTGCCAAGTATATAATAACTTTCTTTTTTTTTTTTTTTTTCCTTTTCTGTTTTCCCCTTTTTCCTTTTCTGTTTTCCCCTTTTTTCTTTTCGGTTTTCCCCTTTTTTCTTTTCGGTTTTTCTTTTCTTTTCTGTTTTCCCCTTTTTTCTTTTCGTTTTTTTTCTTTTCTGTTTTTTCCCCTTTTCTGTGTTTTCTTTTCTGTTTTTTTTTCTTCCTTTTTCTGTTTTCCCCCCCTTTTCTTCTGTTTTCCCCCTTTTCTTTTCTGTTTTCCCCCCCTTTTCTTTTCTGTTTTTCCCCTTTTCTTTTCTGTTTTCCCCCCTTTTCTTTTATGTTTCCCCCCTTTTCTTTTCTTCCCCCTTTTCTTTTCTTCCCCCTTTTTCTTTTCTTCCCCCCCCTTTCTTTTCTTCCCCCCCTTTTCTTTTCTTCCCCCTTTTCTGTTTTTTTCGCCCTTTTCTTTTCTGTTTTTCGCCCCTTTTCTTTTCTGTTTTTCGCCCTTTTCTTTTTGTTTTTCCCCTTTTTCTTTTCTGTTTTTTTTAATTCTGGTCCCCCCCTTCTTCTGTTTTTTCTTCCTTTTTCTGTTTTTTCCCCTTTCTGTTTTCCTCCCTTTTTCTTTTCTTTTTTTCTTTTTCGTTTCGTTTCTGTTTTTTCTTTTGTTTTTCTTTTCTGTTTTTTTCCTTTTTCTTTTCTGTTTTTCCCCCTTTTCTTTTCTGTTTTTCCCCTTTTTCTTTTCTGTTTCCCCCCTTTTTTTTCTTTTCTGTCCCCCTTTTTCTTTTTTTTTTTCCCTTTTTTTTTTTCTTTTCCCCTTTTTTTCTTTTCTTTTCCCCCCTTTTTTCTTTTCTGTTTCCCCCCTTTTTCTTTTCTGTTTCCCCTCCTTTTTTCTTTTCTGTTTTCCCTCCTTTTTTCTTTTCTGTTTTCCCTCCTTTTTTCTTTTCTGTTTTCCCTCCTTTTTTCTTTTCTGTTTTTCCCTTTTTTTTTTTTCTGTTTCCCCCTTTTTCTTTTCTGTTTCCCCCTTTTTTCTTTTCTGTTTCCCCCTTTTTCTTTTCTGTTTTTTCCCCCATTTTTCTTTTCTGTTTTTTCCCTTTTTCTTTTCTGTTCCCCCCTTTTCTTTTCTGTTTTTCACCTTTTTTCTTTTCCTTTTTCTTCTGTTTTTTCCCTTTTTCTTTTTCTGTCTCTCCTTTCTTTTCTGTTATGCCTTTTCCTTATCTGTTTTTTCCTTATCTGTTTTTTCCTTATCTGTTTTTCCTTATCTGTTTTTTTCCTTATCTGTTTTCCCCCTTATCTGTTTTTTCCTTATCTGTTTTTTTCCTTATCTGTTTTTTTCCTTATCTGTTTTTTTCCTTATCTGTTTTTTCCTTATCTGTTTTTTCCTTATCTGTTTTTTTCCTTATCTGTTTTTTCCTTATCTGTTTTTTTTCCTTATCTGTTTTTTTTCCTTATCTGTTTTTTTTCCTTTTCTGTTTTTTTTCCTTTTCTGTTTTTTTTCCTTTTCTGTTTTTTCTCCCTTTCTTTACTGTTCATTTTTTTCAAATCTATTTTTGCAGATTTGTCATTCCGTAGTGAGCGGAGTCGTTCTCGAGACCGAATTGATCCTGGGGGGAGAGTAGAAGATGTAAGAGGAAAAGATCTTGTCACACCTCCTGTCCCTGTTCCTAGGATCAAGGTGGGTTCATAACCAATACAGCCTGATTTTTGTTTGAGTTGATCTGACTTTAGCATAAATAATCTTTTGGGTGATTTTGTTTGGTGATGTTAAACATCTTGAGAATGTAGGTCCGTAGTTGATCTACGAGAATTGAATTTCTTTTTTTATCCTTCTGTTACTTTTAAAGTTTTGTGATATTAAGACTTATAATTTAGGTAAGAATGGATAATTCTAATACATGTTCTTCCAAATGGCCTCCAAGGTTAGACAATGAATCTGCTTATGAACAATGGAACAAAAACCTACCTACATATTTGGTTGACAGAGCTTCCAAAACAGGCTTTTTAAGTGGAAAGGCCAGAGCTGCCTTTTCTGAGATAGTGAAGATTTGGAACAACACACACAGGTGTGGGCACTATCATCCAAAAAGTGGATGAATTCTTTCTACATTTTCTTTTGGTGATAGTGCTACAGTAGAATCTGCAAAGAAATTGACTATTCCCTGTTTGATTAGAAATATGAGGTCAGAAATAACTACTGATGTTGTCAAATGTGAAATACCTTTACTTTTAAGCAAAAATTCAATAAAAAAAAAAAAGCAAACATGATTTTGAATTTTCAAAATGACACTTTGACTGTTGGAAAGAATAATTAAACTGCAACCCAAACACTTCAGGCCATTATTCTGTACCTCTCTATAGACAATCAGATAATGCTACCTATAATTTGATCATGTTCTCAAAAATGAAGGATACAAATAAAATAGCCAACAAATTACAGAAGCAGTTTGGTCACCCTAATCCCCAAAAACTCATAAAGTTGATTTGTGATGCAAATATAAATAATCATAAATTTGCATGCTGTTGTCAGTCTTCCTATGACAACTGAATTTAATGAAACTGTCTTTGGATCTGAAAATATGGGGCAAAAGTTATTTTCTTGTGATTGTGGGTCTGGCAACTCGTTTTTGTGCAGCGAGGGTGATTCAAAACAAAATGATTTCCACTGTTTTTGGAAGGTTCTTTTCAGTTGGATAACTGTTTTTTGGTGCTCAAAAAAAAATACTATCTGACAATGGGTGCAAATTCAACAAAAGTGAAATTCAGGAGTTGGGTGAAACCCTCAACATGACAGTGATGACAACAGCAGCAGAAAGTCCTTGGAGCAATGGTGTATGTGAGAGACTTAATGCTGTTATTGGTAACATGGTAAATAAAATTATTACAGATACTCAGTGTGACTTGGATGTTGTTCTGGTATGGTCTTTCGAATTCTGGTTTTTCCCTAATCAGTTGATTTAATCCTGCTGTTTTAGATATTTTCCATAATAATCTTCCCGCATTGGAAACTGTTATTATATCTACTATAGTGAGAAAAAATTTGAATGCATTGCACCAGGCTAGACAGGAATTTGTAAAGCTTGAATGTAATGAAAGAATAAGAAGAGCACGAAGGTGTAATATGTGGGATACTAATATAAAATATTTAAGAAATGGAGATCAAGTATTCTACAAAAGGAATGATAGCCAAGAATGGCATGGGCTAGGTATTGTGATTGAACGTGATGGAAACTATTGTTAGTTCGTCATAGGGGTATATGTTTCAGTGTTCATACTTGCTGCTTGGTTAAAGATCCAAATGCTAGTCATAATTCCTGTTCAGGCTCTAGTGGTATACAACAAAAAACAAAATAATTCTTTGCAAACTCCTTACCCCCACTCCCAGAGCAATATAATGATGTAGATATCCTTCAACCTGTTAGAGAGGAATAAGAGGCTAACATTTCAACAGGATTCAGACATCCTCTACAAGAGAAGGTTGCTTTATTTGGACCCAGGAAGGATGGTGTGTCTCTTCCCAAACCAGGAGATGACATAGAGTAAAAGTTAGCTGATGATGAAGTTCAGTGAAAGAGGATGAAAGTGGTTAGCAAAGCTGGTAAATCTGCTAGAAGAAATAAGTACATTAATGTAGCATTTGAAGAAGGTGAACCTTTCTGGTTGGATTTTGAAAATGGGGTTTGATTAATGGAGGAAAAAGCAAGATAGTTGTTCAGATGGGCAATCTGCACTGTTGTCCTCTGTTTGTGACCAAAATGTAGAGAAGGCCAAAGAAGGAAGAGATACAAAGCTGGAGAAACAATGGAGTTTTTGTGCAGGATTTGGGGCAGGATAGAATATCTAAAAGATGGATATATATAGTGAAAAAGAAACACATTTATTTTGTCCTGTTATCAAAGCAAGACTGGTCACTTGGGGATTTCAGGATAAAGCTGCCAAAACTGTTCGTACAGATTTCCCCATTTGTTCCAAGGAAGTTTTGCGCATTGTCTTAGCCATCATATCATTCTCAGGATGGACTTGCAACTCTATGGACATAAAAACTACCTTTTTACAAAGTAATGATTTTGAAATGAATGTTTACCTCCCCCTTCTGAAGCTAATATATCCAGTTATTGTCTCTGGAAGCTCCGCGAGTGTGTCTATGGTCTTAATGATGCTTCCAGAACATGATATTTGACTGTCAGAGGTGCCCTGTTGGAATTGGGGGCTACCGTATCTAAATATAACCAAGTAGTGTTTACTTGGTATTGTGGCAAACAATTGCACGGCATTATTTCCACTTGTGTTGATGATTTTTGTTAGGCTGGAAGTGCACTTTTTCAAGGGGAAGTAATTAATTGGATCTTAAAGAAATTTGTAGTGAAGTCTGAAGCAAAGTCCACCTTCAAATATTTGGGAATGAAAAGAGTAACTTAGTGGGAATTAGTCAGGATGACTAACTATACTGCATCTCTAAAATCTATACCCATCCAAAATAAAGATAATGAAGAGGAACTTTTAAAGTGTCAGTATACCAATGTCAAGAGGCTTATTGGTCAATTAAATTGGTTGGTCTCCTTGACCAGATTTGTGCTTTGATGTATGTGGCTCCAGTTTCTTTCTCCATAGAAAGAAAAATTGAAAGGATTAGATAAGTAAATAAATCTGGTGAAAAGGCAGAAATCTCAGCTGGCCATACAAGATCTGGAAGATTTAAGACAGCTAAAACAGGTAAATGTTTACATTAAAATACAGTTAATAGGATTTCATAATTAAGATAATTCAGGTGTTTGCAAATCAGCCCATTCTGATAAAAGATTCTGGATAAAAGACTTAGAATTGAGATCTTGCATGAAACGTTAATCAATAAAGAATTGTCTGGCCCACAAGTCACCATATAGTTGACTCATATACCAGACTTGGTGTTCTCTTATCCAAAATTATTGGACATATTATGGAGACCAAAGAATATTTGTCTTAGGTCTTATAAAATTTCTTTGTTGCCTCTGTTATTATGTATTTTGTGTGCCTCTGAAGAAATGGGTGAAGTGTTAATGCTGTAGTTATTGCTCTTGCCTTTTGGTGGTGGTTTAGTACCACCAGGTAGTGTCTTCTATAAAATGCTGGCAGCTATATTGAAAATGTTTCATTTGTTCAGTTGTCAATATTCAGACTAACAGGAGGATTACCTTATTGCAGATGCAATTAATTCGTTGAGGATTAACAAGTGTATTGAAAACATTCAAAATGAACCTTCTTAAAACTCCACACAAAATATAATTTACATATCAGCATTTACTTCATTTGAAAGTGAAACAAAAAGTCTTTCATTTTTTTTTTTTATTAGATTGTTGCTTTTTATCAAATCACAAATTATTTTGGTATCTATTAATGACAGTGCTTCATCTAAGAAATTTTGATAAATTATTAAACTACTACTATTAAGAGGAGACCAACAATAAAATCATTGGTCAAAGATAGTGATATTGGACACTTTTTAGTGCCATTCTTTCTGTCTCTGTGCAAATGCATTGGTGTTGGCTGTGTCTACATCCAAGTGTTCATTTAATTCCCAATACTCTAACATGGGGCATACTTTACTTTTATTTTTCTGAACCACTGCAATCAATGTGATCAAACATCTTGAGATCTTTTGGCATGGGATACTTGGGCATCCTATTCTACAAATTCTCTGGTGTTTGACTACCTGACCACTTCCCTGATGCAATCCAAATCTTATCTTGATGAAATTCAACACAGAAATCAGACTCACCAATTTTAATGGCTGTGCAGACACACTTTGTACTTGGGCGGTGGGGGGGTACATTGCCAGACTCTGTTATTTGGAGTCTATGAAGCTTTCTAATTCCTTTTGATTTTGTTGTCAAATCCAATAACTGTCCATGTGCTACCAAAACTTTTACATCAGGTGGTGTTATACCATCCACTCCAAGCTTGATATTTCTATTTACAGTGAACACATTCACCTTTCTCTTTCTAAGATTGACAAACTGCTCAACTTATGAGTGTTTGTAAATCATCAGTGTCTACCAGTGCTATCTTCTTGATTCCATTTATGTGGATGTCTATGACTGGTAACATCTCATTTACCATTTGCTTGGGGAAGAGACCAACACTGACATCTTGTCTGTCTCCTTCCTGTTTTTCCAGACACTCTGAAGCAATATGGCATCAGAAGCAACATACAGTTTTGAGGATCTTTTGTGAATGACGGGCATATGTCTCTTCTCAATGAACTGAGCAGACCTTTGAAAAGTGATTCAATCTGAAACATCAATAGCATTTAATGCTGCCATGACACTTAGCAGTTGGAAAATTACCAGCTACAGCTTCAACTTGCAAAGTACTAGCCACAGCTATTTTTTCAATCATTGTCTGATCTTTTACTAAGGATTGAACTTTGTTCAATTGCTGGTGAATGTTTGCTATAGTTGTTTGACATAATCTGGCAGTCTTGCCACAAATGCACGTGCAAATCCTTGCTTGCATATTCTGACAAATAATCCTGTGGGCTACTTCAAATCTGCTAAAATGTCAGTCAACATGTTCAGGCACATCTACTGCTTCACAAATTTCTCATAGGCTAAGAAACATTCTTGTCACCAATAGAGTCTGTCAAAGAGCTCATTTTATCTGCTGGACTCTGTACTGAATTGCTGGCAGGCAGCAAATGCTCTGCCAGTTAATCACAAAGGAAGAATTCATTCAAGCTTCTCTATCCCACAAAGATCATAGAAAAGTTCTGCTTTTCCAATCCATTCAGTAACTGGCTGTACAGTCACCAAACTAAAGTATAAGCTTAATGTCAAATGTCTTATCTGTCATTGTTGCCAAAGCAGCTTGCAGTTGAAGAATTTTAGAAGTGACAAATCCACCCCCTCTCAAATAAAGGCATGTTGATCTGTTGCTGCAAATCCTTCACACATTGCAGAAAACAAAAAAATCAACTGACTTGTCAAGGCATTTAGATTATATGTAAGTTGAGAGGTCTGCGATCAGTTGAAGTTGAACAAAAAGAATTTACATGGTGTCCTCTCTGTAAAGTGAGAAGTCACATAAGCCCTCCTTTCTCACTATTGCTTGTATTGATGAGGTAAATTGACAGATGGCCTTGAGGATGAAGTAGTTTTATTGAATAAACCTCTTATAATTTGAGCAACTGTACATCTTGTTTTTTCCTATGAATATCTTTATAGGATAATTTGTCCTAAATTCTCAGGTATAACCTGTATTTAAATTTATATCCAATAGAAATAGGGATCACATAACATAAATACAGTATTCTGTTTTCTTTCACCTACTTTGTTTCTCTCTCTCTCTCTCTCTATATATATATATATATATATATATATATATATATATATATAATGCATTTTCTGCTACTCTTTGTGAATGTGTGTATTCATACCCAAGACTAAGAGGCTAAAAGTCACAATCAATTTCACAGAACATTTTTGGTACCACCTCATATATATTTTATGAATATCTATGTATATCCATATATCCATATTTTTTTTTTATTATATCTATATGATGTTTAATCAAACCTTTTTTGTGTTTATAGAAGAAAACCTTAGCTAGAAGACGATGTCGAGCATTATATGATTGCCAGGCAGACAACGATGATGAATTAACATTTAAAGAAGGGGAGATAATTCTAGTCATTCATGAAGAGGAAGAAGAGTGGTGGGTAAGTGGATATGTATATAATATTTTTTATTTTTTTCTGTTCTTCATAAACTTCTAATTCTTTTCTTACATGACATTTTGAAATTTATTTTTTTACCATTTTTCATTTTTAGCTGCTTTTTCTATTTGGTTATTTCTTCTTTCACTCTCTCTTCCTCTCTTTCCTTTCTTTGCTTTTTCTCCTCACTTTTTTCCATTTATTTGATAATTTCAGTTTTTAGTGTTTCTTTTAAAATTTTGTATTATCTTCATTTTACAGTTTTAAATTTATATCCATTTTTTTTTTTTTCTCTCTAATTTTACAGGAAGGCGAAATTGAGGGCCAGCCCAGCAGACGTGGTTTGTTCCCCGTTAGTTTTGTGACCATGTTGCCGAACTGACCACACTGCAGTTCTGCATGTCAGCAGACTGCGATCACTGCTGACGGTGACTGCCAGCCTCCCCAAGAACACCACCTACAGCAGCCGCCGAATAGTCGTGATCCATCGCCATCTTACTTACTATCCATTTCTAGTTCCAGTTGTCAATTGCACAGGGACAACGTAGACCACCTTGGAAACCAGTGTCTTCAGCAGAGGACGCTTGTTATGGCCACCAGTGATGACCAATTAACCTCTTATTTGTGTGTTACAGACGGACTGTAACTATACTCTTCTATCATGGAATCTGTGTGCATGGGTGTATGTATGTATGTATGTGCACATATATTTATATATATATGATTGTGTGTGTGTATATATATATATATATATATATATATATATATATATATTTACACACACACATTATATATATATATATATATATATATATATTGAACATACAGACACTTGTTTTGTTTTTCTTACTCAATTATAATTTGGGGTGGGGAGGGGAAATGTATTATCATCATCTTCATCATCACAGAAAGAAGATAATGAAAAGTAAATGGAATTAAGAAAGACAACATAAACATCTAAAAATGTTGAAATATTTGAAATTCCTCATTTCATATTCAGTTGTTTCAAATGTTAAATTTTAAATAAAAATAATGAAGTTTTATATTATAAGACAAAGTGGAAAACTATTCAGCTATGTGTTTCACCTTCTTATAGTAGGTGTCCTCAGGCTGGAATGAGAGACAAACTCGTGTGTGAGAAAGGGTGTTAGAATATAGGAAAGAAGTAATAAAGATCCTTATCAAATGTTGCAGCCAAAGAGCTGTTTGTTTTTCTGTACTGAAGCCACTAAAGTTTGCTGGATTTTAAATTTCTACAAACTACTCTCACCCATATATATATATATATGTAGGATAATACAAATATAAAATTTATCACCTAGCTGATTATAAAAAGAAAATGTTAATATTTTAAATAAAATTTATAATTTTATATATATATATATATGCACACAAGTTCACTGGGAATTTACTTAGGAATATATATATATATATATATATATGGATCAAATGCAGACCAAATATGGATTTGAATCAAAGAAAATGATAGGGGTAAACATTTCCTATTTACTCCTTATCCTATCATATATATATATATATATATACTAAAATAATATAAGCTAATATAATCTCTAATTAGGATTTTTAGCTGTAAAAGAAAAATCTAAAAGGCTCTCATGAAATATAAAATGTCATCAGTTTAAAATTATTTTATAATTATTACTACTTGTAAAAAAAAAACAGAAAGACATTTCTTTCCAGTTTACAACCATATACCTTCTCTTCATTTTGTGTTAAGGTGATTAATCATTCAAATAATTAAAAATAAGGGCAAAAAGATTTTCCCAGTCATTTTTTAGTATTTCAACAGTTAAAAATTCTTCAATGTTAACCTTGACAAATCTATTTTCAAAATACACAAGGATTCTTTAATAACATACAACACTACATCTATGCACCTTTACACAAACATGAAATAAGATATTAATTTATCCTCTTTTATCTTCCCTTGATAATATTGAAGAGTATTACATAATTACACACATGCTTTTTTTGTGTAAATTTAAAGTATATTGTAAAATAAATATAAGTAAATGTTAAAGAATGTGAATATTTTCTAATGCTCACTTGTATCAATATTGTGGAATCTAAATTACATATAGGTAGTCTACCGTTGATAAAAGTGGCAGATTTACCTTTGATAGGTAAACCATAACATTGTTCATGTTAATGATTGTATATAAGTGTTTTGTTAGGCTCACATAGTAAAAAGTATAAATAATGAAAGTCTGATAAATGGATTTTATAAAATCCATGAAGTTAATAGTTTGTATCTTATAGGATAAATTCATATATTGCATTTTGTCAAAGAGAATAAGCAGATCTTCAATGGTTTTAGTAGAATAAGATTGAATACTAAAAGTCTCCCGTTAATAACCAAAAATTAGGAACAATCCAGATCTATCTTATCAAGATAAATGGATTTTTATATCTGTTATTGTTCAGAATGGCTGTAAGCATCTTATAGATGTCCAGTCTAAGTGCTATTCTAAGTGTACAGAAACTCTCATTGACTTCGTTTTGAATTGAACTTTAACAGTATCCTAAAATAGAAATAAATCTGAGATTTTCTTTCCTGCTCATTCTAATAGAAAGAAATAGAAAGCCATGATAATTTGAGAAAACAAAAATTTGATAAATTTTAGCTTTTCATTATTGTTTCTTTCTCTCAACCATTTTTCTGTATGAAAACATTATGTTATTTGATTTCTGTATCTCTCTTCCTTCTTGAAAGATGTGATTTTCAACTTATTTTTCCATCTGTATAATTTTTGTGTGTATTATTCTTTTATTGTACTTCTGGAAACTATTAATTAGAATTAAAAACAGCAAAAAAAAAAGAAAAAAAAAACAACAACAAAACAGAAAATCTTAAGATTTTCCTTCCATCCCTGTTGGCTTTGGACTCTTCATACATGTATACATATACACATTGCATACTTTGATGCAGGTTATGGCACACAGAGGATAAAAAGAATCATATCTATTTACAAAGTGACTGGAAGCAAACTCCCATCTTTCAATATTTATGATTTTAAGAGAAAAAAAAAAAAGTGGCAGAGATAAATAACTTAATTTCCCATTCTCATATTCTGCCAAAAAAAAAAAAAAAAAAAATGAAGAAAAAAAAAATGCAGTGTAGTAAGGGAAACAACTCTTATCTCCAAAAGATTTATTTCCCTTGACCAGTCAGTACTGGTCTCTTTGGACATATGCTAGAAAGACAGACAAACACTGTTCTGATCAGCTTTGTCCTAAGGTCTACACTGTATTAATATTAATGAGAAAATGTAAGTCCTTAATTTGAAGTGAAAATTTTGCTTGATGCTCAAAGGTGAAGAGTGTTGAAAAATAAAGTACCACCATTTTTTCCATTGTTATATAATCATTAAATATTTTATAAGTGGTCCATTAGGTTGAAAATATCTGAGCTGCTTTCCTCTGGCCAATTAGAATGAGAAAAATAATCTTATAATAATCTGATTATAAAGATTGGTTTTAAAAAAAAAAAAAAAAAAAAAGGTCCAGACGAGTGAGTCATCTGTCAGTTTTTTTTTCAAGTTTCCATACAACAATAGCTGCAGCTTCTGTTTGTCTGCAACAAAGCAACTGAAAAAAGTTTGGTGTTCAAAATATCAAAACTACAATTTCTGATTAGAAATTGATTTCTTGCCTCCTAATCTATCAAGTGAGATGGCTATTAATTGCATAGGCAACAATCGTCTCGTTTACTTGTAAGCAAATCTTTTTCATTGTTCTGAACAAATCAACTTTTAACAGAATATTGCTGTAAATTTTAATCAAATTGTAGAAAAAATATTGGGGAAACATTGTTCTCTTTCTTTAAAAAAAAAAATGTTTGCAGCAGTTGCAAAAAATGTTCAGAATTGAACATCCTTGTTCTTATACCGAAAAGATTTAAAAAGAAAAGAAAATTGTAAGAACCTGTTGAAGCCGAGCACACATATTCAGTGGTGTGTGTGGATTTTTTACTAACATTTTTGTTTGTCCCTGACATTGGTTATGCTTCCTCCAACAAGATAAAATCTTTTGTTCCATTTTGTATAATATGCGAACAATGAAATGTCATGCGAGGAGGCGGATGATGATGATAACCATAATTCTTGGATGATTGTTATATTGAGTGCTTGTTTTTGCCAACAAGTGATAAAGTATGAAATAACTTCGATGACTCCACATTTAATATCGAAGAAATTAAGAACACACAAAACAATCTCGAACTTGGATTTTATTTCTCTCTCTCTCTCTCTCTCTCTCTCTCTCTATTATACTCAAAGTTCTTGTATTATGTATCCATATACATATACATTCACTTTCAAAAAAGACACATCCTAAGTCTACATATACATGCATGTATATATTTATTTTATATATTCTTACACACACATACACACACCTCTCATATATATATATATATATATATATATAAAAAACACCCTTTTCTACATTTCTTTATGTGTACACACACACACACACTTTCTTGCTGTGTATATTATATATTGTTTCTGGTATGTATGTATGTATGTATGTCTGTATGTATGTACACATAATCTCAATCATTTCCCTATCTCCTATCACTTTCAAAATGTATGCAAATAATTCTTTATATAGATATATTTTCCCTTTTTCAAATATAAAAGCATGTATTTATCAAAAGTGCTAATGTACAATTTTCTCATTTTCCTCTTATTTTGTAAATAATAATAATAATAGAAATATTTAAGGAAGCACTTATTCATTTTTCAATTGAAACTGAACATTAACATGAAAAGTTGATAATGCCTAGAAACTAAGAAGCCTTTTTCTGTTTATTTAACTCTTCACGGATTTTATAATAAAAGCCATCAATTAACATACGAGCTGTATAAAAGCATTCCACTTTATAAATATTCTAATGTTGTGCCTGCTGTAGAGAAATGGTTTGCAGGTTGTTCTTATAAGCCAGTGTTAGTAAGTTCAATCCTTACTGGGTGCTCACTATTGTATCCCTATGCCAGACTTGGCTAAGCTTAGTAAACCTGTTTGCTTCTTTTGTAAATAATGCATGCATACATACACACACACACATATATACATACATATACAGATGAGTGAATGTGTGTGTGTGTGTGCGCGCGCATGTAAAGGAAAAATAAACAAATGTAACTTTAATTTTTTTTTTTCTTAAAAAAGGAAAATAATTTCTCACTTTGATTGACAGAAAAAAAAAATAATAATTTTACCATTTATTCACTTTACTCCCCAACTATTCCATGTCAAGAATTCCCAATTAAAATGAATGTATATAAGACTTCTTCCTCTCAAAATAAATTCCTTCATTTACTTTCCCTGAAAGACATTACCTCTTGTATATGAGCGTATACTGTTTGTCCAAAAAGGAAAAAAAAAAAAAAAATGACAACCTCCCCACCATTTTATCATGTTAACCTTGCTGTGCTGTTGTGAAGGAACTAAATTAATTAATCAGGTCTTTTTAATTGGCCTTTCAAATTAAAGCATAATTTATTTCACTCTTTGCTTTCCCTTGCCACATTTTTCTTTTTTAATGTATACAATTGAGTATACATTGAAACAGTCAAGTTGTTAGGAAATAATTGGCTTTTAATGCTATCATCTACAGCTTACTCATATACAATTCTTCCACATGTAAATGATAGGCTTTTTTTTTTTTTTTTTTTTTTTTTTTTTGATAGGCTTTTTTTCTTTTTTTTGATAGGCATATTAAATTAATTTCTAGAAATGACTGATTATAGTAAAGCATACAGAAATAACTGTTGAGGCTGTAAACTAAAACGTTTTTTTTAAATTTAGTTAAATAAATTATCTGTAGGGATTTAAAGAGTTGTCACATTTGACATCAGATATAGAGCAAGTCTTTTGTGGTCATTAATTCTGACCAGTATGTCCAGCTAAAGCTTAAATTCCATATAAGTTAAGTAGATCTTTAGTAAGAATTTGAGATAATTAAATCTATTTTTAAAGATTTTCTTGTCAATTTTAAAGTTGAAAAATAAAATCATTATTTCTGTGGCCTGTATTATGATGCTGTAATTACAAATGATGGTTGATTAAAATACTTCTTTCTGATTAAATTATCTCCTCTGTCAGTAAACCAACAAATTGGATGATATCAGTCAGCATTTCCAACTAGTCAGAAATCAGTTTTTAAAGTCAGGATTTTAAATGCTGCTTTTCTAAGCAAACCTTCCTCACTTAGATGGACATAATTCATTTTTTTTTTTGTTTCTAATTTGGATTTGCTTCTGTTTGGCCTTGTGTCAAACTAAACTTATCAATAAACCAGTTACCTTGAGTTTGATGTGAGGTGGTGAGTAGGTAATCTTGGTTAAGAATGTTAACTATGATGGTGAAATGGCTACTTACTTGGGTTAGAATTACTCAGACCATAGCCATAATCATTCGATTACTACTCTCTGTGCATTTATGTAAAATCTACTTACCAAACTTGAGCAGGCTTAATTGGAGAAAGAGAACATGGTTGTATTAGTAAATGTATAGGTTCTCTCCTTTTTTTTTTTAAATTTTAAGTTATTTAATTTTAAGTTATTTAATTTTAAGTTTGCAACAAGTGGAGAAACAGTCTTTAGAATAATGTATATAAATTTTAATCCATTTGTTTTGGAAATATCAACTTCCAATTTCCAAAACAAATTAAGTGGTTTATTTCCTAGTTTAACCTTTGGATCAGCTTAGAAGCCTCTAGTCTCTCTCTCTTTTTTTTTTTTTTTTTAGCATGTTGTTGGTAGATCTGTTTGATAAAATATAATGAACAATTGACATTGCTTGAAGAATTATCTCCACCATTTTTACCAGTCACTGCTAAATTAGGGCACCTAAATTCCTGAACTTTATTTCTGTAACATTTGAGCATCATAGATTTTACAAGTACATGACTGACCATTTGCAGAAAAAAAAATTGTCCTTGTTTAAAATCTTTTTTTTTTTTTTTTTTTAAGTGGTCTTTTCCCTGTGACTCACTCTTGATTAAATTTTCTATCAGTGACTTTAAACTACACGACTTCCTTATTCAGCTACATCTTAGGACAATCATTGAAATGTGTTTTGGGAATTAGAAAAGAATGAGGAAAAAACAAGACATTTTTACAGTATTTATTTCTCATTTTATAATATTATTACTGACAGTTTGTTTCAATACTTATTGTGCTTATGGCCATATCACATAGAAACACATGTTTCCATACAATCCCTGAATTCAAGCAATGTCGAGCCTGGTCAGTACCTAGATAGGTGACCGCTTGGGAATACCAAGTGCTGTAAGCTTGTATGTGTGGGTGGTGTAATGGATAATGGCTCGAAATTGTTAATCAGAGAATAGAGTTCCAATTTCCATTTGGTTAATTATATTTACTTATTTGCAAATACCCTTGGGAAAGGTACAAATCCAACTCTTCTTTTTTAATTAATTTTATTAATCTAAAATACAAATATTTTCTGGATTTTAAATCTGCAAAGGATTGATAAGCTGTAGAAAACAAATTAATCAATCAACAATTCAATACTTATTACTGACAGTATACGTCAGTAATTATCTGTTTGGATTTAAGGTATTGATTTTAATAATGAAAACGGCAAAGCTGAGTAGAATTTTTTTTTTAAATTATGAAACCGAAATTTTTTTTTTTTCCCCCTTTTCCTTCCAATGTAAGAAATTTTTTTTCAGTCAAAATACACACAACTTGTTATGTCCCTAGGCTTGTCAACTGATGAAACGTAAAGAATGAATAGTTACTATCATTTTCATATTACCTTCACAGATTATGAAATACTAAGTGGAACTTGGGTAAACCTGGAAAAAGAAGGTTGCTCTAATTTCTTGGTGGGGTTATCTGCAAATCTTATGTTTAGTGACATTTGGTTAGTTGACGGAACACATTAACAAATTTTGTACAGTGACAAATAATTTACTTTCTAGTGGAGTTGGAGCCTTTAAGAACAATAAAATTGTTTTTAATAAAGATGAAGTAAAAATCAAATGAATCTGTTCTTTATTGTTCTACTGCTGTTATCAAACCTCAACCGAGAACTGATTGTAATGCGAGGCATTTTCATGTCTCTTGATAACTGTTCTCTTGGATTCTTCTTCCCTCTTTTTATTTTTTGGTCTTTGTTCTCAAGATGGTTGTAGCTGTTGTGTAAATCAACTAATCGGTGAAGGCTACAAGGTGTCAGCTTTAATTTTTATTTGTTGCTTCTTTTATTATGCTTATTGTCTAAGCTTTATTTGCATTTGATGAATTCAATTGGAGAGTCTTTTTATGAGAATTAAAAATTCATGTGTTTCATACAGACTTTGCTGCTAAATGAAAACATTTTAGTATTTTTTCCAGCAACAAATCTAGCCTGATGCCAAAGAGGCATCTGTATGTGATCATTTATTGGTTAGTATCAAGAGTTTGAAGATCTAGGGTTGGGGAGGTGGGGCTTAAGCCATTTCTGACTTGATAGAATGGTTTGATTTTTTTCTGTTGATAGCAAAATTTAAAGTGAGGTTCAACTAACTTCCCTGTCTCTTATTATTGTGCCTCCAGTCCAAGAGTTAATGAAAAATCACCAACTATACATTCCATTGCTTTGTTTGTGAGTAACTGAAGAAATTTATTGACTACCAAATTTGCCCAAACAATTAGATTTATTATGTTAACCAATGTTAAAAGTTGCTCTGTTTTTCTTTTATATACCTTCTTGCCTTTTCATTATTTTGAAAAACAATCATATCTTTTTCATATGCGTATGCCTCATTAAAAAGAGGGAGAAAAGATCACTCGGTAGGCTTTTGATTGTAAGTAATTGATTCTGGCCTTCTTTTCAGTGTGGGCTGCAAAGTAGCATGGCTCACTTAGTGAAGGACTTAACTTGCCAGGTTAATTGAAACTGATTTGAGTTGAGCCTTTTAAATGCTATGAAGATGTCAAAGATATTCACACACCTGTTGTGATCTGTCTATGGAATATCTATAAAGGATAGATCATGTAAATCTTCTTATAAAAACTTATATAATGGTATTATCTCAGGTTCAAATCAAATCTCATCTTGAGCTAGTCTTTCACTCCCACCTTACCTATTATGATCAGTCTTTTCAAATATACTTGTAAAATTTGCAATCCTCAAGTGATGTAAATATCTTCTCCTTATTATCACCAAATTAAAAAGAAAAAAATATCTTTGATCCAAGCCATTTTTTTGTTCTTTCTGTTTTATTTTGGAATACCAACTAAAACCAATTATGTACATTCATTCCAAAAAAGAAGAAGAAAAAAAAAAAAACTCTAGAAAGACAACTAAAAATGATCTGTGTGAACTGATAATATATTTCCTTCAGTCATATCCACTAAAACTTTGGTCATATCCACTAAAACTTTGGTCATATCCACTAAAACTTTGGTCATATCCACTAAAACTTCAGTCATATCCACTAAAACTGTGATAATCTTGTCTGTCTGTGTCTCTCTTTTCTTTCTCCTTAATTTTGTTTCTTTTAAATTGTGTTGTTGCCAACTTTCTAGCAATTGTTTTTTCTTTTTTCTTCCCCTGCCCAACCAAAACCCCTGCCTCCAGTCTATTGCTGGTCTCTCACTGGTGACATTCCAAATTTGTGACCAGCCATAGCCTCTCCTTCCTCTCCTAAAGTGACAAAATTCATTCAACCTAAATTTAAATAAAACTGACCTAGGCAAATTCTTCAGGGGGATGGAGTGGGGGCACATTTTTATATTTTATTTTTAATCAAAAAATAATTCTGACCAAATATAAATAATTGAGACTAAATTTGGAAAAAAAACAAAAAAAAACACCAAAACCTATATCTTCTTAATCCACCTCTGACCGTTTTTTTTTTTTTTTTTTTTTTTTAATGAAACAAGTGTTTGAATTTTTTTTTTTTTTTTTTTTTGACCTATACTAATCTACAGTCACTGCTACTTCTCTTGATACAACAGCTGCTATTATTTATATCCAGTTTAAGAAATATTAACAAAAACATGTTTTATTTTCTATTTAATTTTAAGAAACTTCCCACAGCGAGTTTTGTGAAAATTTTTCAAATCAAATGTTTATTTCAATCATTATCATCATCATCATCATCATCATCCTAATTACCAAAGTGTACTTTGTATGCTCACGTCTCAATAACTTTTCCTTGTGTGTGTAGGTGTGTGGTGGGGGATTCTGACCAAGTGTAGGAGTGCCAGCTACTCCAGTGCTGTCTATTGCTGGCTTGAGAAGCTGTCCACGTACCATGTGATAGAAAATACCAATATGGATCAATGAACTGTCTCTCAGCTGAGGCAAATGCAGGTATGCCCAGAGGTTATGGGTGCACCAGACTGGGCTCATTCATTTGTAGCTTCAGTACAGACCCTACATGATTAAAATTATTGTTGCAATATTATTGAGTTTTAAAAAAATATTGTGCAATATAACAAAGCAGTTTTTACATTTAATATTTTCTTCTAAGGAATATTTCAGATGAGTGCTATTGCATATTATAATTACAAAACTCAATTTTATAAATTATTGCACGCAATTTTATTTATTTATTTATTTTTTACTGTTTTGGTTTAATCTTTGACAATACAGAGTTAACATTGTGCAATATGTGAAAACGATGCAATATAAGTGATTATCACATGCAGTGATATTGTGCAATATAAAAATCATGTGCAGAGACAGTTTGTCCAATGGGCTGAGGAAGTGTGCAATGACAATTGAAAGATGGTCAGACAACCTCAGATTTATTATTAACAGCTGTTTGCTTTTAAAACCACTTTTGTGTGTCCTGAACTGATGTAGATCTTATTATTGCGACTACCCAAACCTTTAAAAAAAAAAAAAAAAAAGAAAAGAAAACTCACTTGTTGGCTCAAAAGTCTCTCATTCCATATTAATATATTAATAATAAATAATAAAACAAAAAATTCACTGTAACTTTTTCTCTAAAGAAGAAAAATCTCTTTCCTATTTGTCCTTCCCAGTAAGGAATGAGGTCAGTCTATCTTATTTTGAATGCTGTCATTATGACACAAAAGCCAGATTCCAGTCATTTTGGGTTAGGTGATCAAATTAACTCTCATTTGTACCCTTACTTGTCTGGCTCCTGGCTGTCCTTCATCTTGACCAGCATATTGGTAGGTTTAATGTTTTAAGTGTAGGCCAGTCATTCCAACTTTGTTCAGTCTTGGTCACACTCACCCTTGAGTGTGAGTGGCCACTCTATACTACTATTACTTCTACTACTACTATGTGTATGAAATGTGCAGAATTGAACTGAATCATTACAAGCTTTGTCTCCTCTTGCTACTGAATATCAAATAAAGGAGTTTAATCATTCCTTCACTTGTGTAGACTTTATTTTCTTCTGAATGTGTTTGTTCCTTTGTAAAGTTCTTGGTGTTTGAAGGGAAAATCCAATTTTAATGTCATTCATCTGGAGAGAAGCATGCTGGCATTTGCCTTTTGATTTGAGAATGCAGTTAAAATATGGGAAGTTAGAAAATTGAAAGAGCTGGCATCATATTGGACAGGTAAGTCAAACTGTATAGGTTTCAGCATTGTGAATTTACTTTATTCAACAGAGAGGGACATGGAGAGCATGCCTGTGTATAAATATAGATTTACTTGTCTTACATGGTATATCTGTGTGTTTTATGTTACTGGCAAGATGTTCTTCAAAACAACAACAAAAACAATTTTGCCAGCTTTAATTAAATTTCTTTTCAAGAACACTTTTTCCTTATAGATTGTATATGACAAGCAGATCAGGGCAAAGCTGTTGAGTGGATCAGTTGTGTTAATGACTACAAAAGCAATGGATTGAACAGTTGTTGGAACTGAATAATCTGTACTGATTATATTGATTTAATTTCTTTAAATTGTGAAACAAAGTTAATCTCTCTCTCATATATATATATATATATATATATATATATATATATATATATATATATAAAAAAATATAGTATGAATGTATGCTATATTTATGGATAAAAGTGCTCAATATCAGAGAATATATATAAATATAAAAAAATATGAAAGTGGCCACTGAGGTCAGCACCAAGCTGTGACAGTTTTTCATGAAATCTTCAGGCCATGAATGACATTGCATTCAAGCATGAAACAGACTGGTGTTAACATCAGTGCCCACTTCCAATATTATATATATATATATATATATATATATATATATATATATATTAGTAGTAGAGCCCGGCGTTGCCCGGGGATGTAAGAGATAGATCAAGTATCGATCATCATAAAGACTGAAAAATAAAATTGACAAAGATTATTGTTTAAGGTTGATGGACACGCATGTCTTAATTAGTTTTTTTTTTTTTTTTTTTTTGGTCAAACTCAAACAAAAACATTGTTTTCAATCGTTATGAATCTACAGATTGAATAGAATTTTATTATAAACAATTGTCTTGTAGATGGAATTTTTAAAGCATTCTGAATGTAAAAATAAAGAAAAAGGTGTGCAAGACAATAAGAAACACTACCTGCCAAAAAAAAAAGAAGTGAAATTTTGTTGAAATCGGTTGAAAAATGTAGGAAATCCGATCCCATATATAAATGAACACACACACACACACAAACAACCTGGGTTTTATAAGTATAACTTGATATGAGTTGTCCCCCTTTCATTCTCGCGATGCCTCTTAATCGTGTTTTCAAATTGATTTTGTGTTTTTACAATTTTTGGCGCTGTCGGAACCACCGCAAGGTAATTTTATGTAGTCCTGTGAAATTTTTGTTGAAATCGGTTGAAAAGTGTAGGAAATCCGATCCAATATATAAACGTACAGACACACACACACACAATCTGCGTTTTATAATAAGATGTATTATACATATAAATCAGTTATTGGCTTTTTCATTGTATAATGTTTAGTAATGCAACTCTGAAAATTACAAGAATTTTACATGTTTTTCCTGATTAGCAGATAATGAAACTCTAGTTAAGAATTTTAAATTTAAAAGTTATGAATGGACAAATGTTAACACTAAAGGATATTAATATAGGATCTGATAAGTCCAGTAGATTAATCAAATCTCTGGTCCCGATGCAAAACTAAGCTAACCAGATAAGTCACTTGAACTTTCTTTTAATTTATTGAATATTATAGCTCCAGTTATCTGTTGAGTGTTTTTGATAGAAGTTCTGCTAATGTCTAATTTGTCGTCTTTTTTGGTTAAGTGTATTGACAAGGAAGGAGATTATATTGAAAAATATTTGGTGTAAATGTTTATTTTTTTCATCATTAGGTGACAGACATGCTGGCAAACCTGTGAGACAGATACAATAGGTGCTGAACAGTTCTTATGTCAACCCGTTTCTCAAAATCAGTCTTTTAATGTTCAATTATCAGAATTGTAACTTTGAGAAATGCATCATGCCAAGAAATTCCACCTCCTGTTCCCCACATATATATATATATATATATATATATATATATATATATATATATATATATATATATATATTCAATGAGGCACGGATAGCAGCTTAGACTGAGGAATCTGAGAGCTGAGTTCGAATTCCAGTTGGATCCATTATATTCACTTTCCCTTAGGAAAGGTATGACTCCTCTTCTTCTCCCCGCCCAACTATAGGTAAATAGCTAGACAGTCTACTATAGCCTTAGGTGGCAACTGGTCTAGGTGAAGTAAACTCTGAATTCAAAAACGTCCTGGAGAGGGTTGGGCTCCGTCAGGCTATCTTGCCCAAGAAACACCACTTCTATTGCGGCTGCAGTAAACATGGTGCCTCTTTGACCCTGATGGTTCATGGGATTCATGATCAATTGTGATAATGATTTATTTGGGCACAAATGAAAAAAATATATTTTAAAAGTTCAGTTAACATACAATCTTACCAAACCAAACAAAACAAAAAAAGGTAGTGGAGGCTGATGGTCTCACCATGTCTCAATCAAACTTGATTTGTGATTCTTATTTTAGCATTTGAACCTACTCAGTAAAGTTCAGTATTTCTTTTCCTAAAACACCTTTTTTCTTTTAATGAGATTGTACAAACATACAATAAAGAGAATATGAAACTGATCATTAATAAGATATTTTGAAATTAGGATAATATATAATTATTTATCACTTGCGACTTTCCATTTGTGCAGATTTTGTTGAAGATCAATCAGAATTCTTTAAGATTCTTTTATTTTTTTCTATGTTCCAAACCATTTTCCTGGTAGAATTTGAACATAAATTGCCCAATGTCTTTTAAATGCTTTCGGTTTTCTTAAGCCATTATGAAAGTTACATTTTTTTTTTTATTGATATGGGTGGGTGATATATTGTGTGTGTGTGTGTGTATATATATATATATATATATATATATATATATATATATATATATATATATACTTTAGGTTTTTCTTTGGTAGATTCCAAGTGTCATGTTTTCAAGCACAAAAAAAAAATGAATATATGTTGATACAGCCCTATCAACACAAAAAAATAAAATTCTTTGATAATGGCTTGTGAAAACCAAAATGCTCAAAACATTGGACAATTTATGTTCAAATTCTCTCTGAAAACCGGGAAAATGGTTCAAATTGTAGAAAAATCTTAAGAATTTTTTTTTTTTTTTTTTTTTAATTTTTCAACAAAATCTGCATAATATCCATCCGTTTTGTCTTTTTCCAAATAAATATTTTCAAATTCTCAAATGTTACATAGTTTTTAACTTCTTGGTTTAGACCAATTCTGGTATTGAGGGCAAAAGGATTTTTTTTTTTATATTTGGGGCATTTTTATTTTTGTATACAATCAACCTCACCACCTAGTGCTAATATGTAACCAGGGAGATGTGAGTTAAAATTTGTTGATAAATGATAACATTTTTTTTTTTTTTTTTAAATTACTATCTTAAAGATGCAGATATATTCTAGGCTGACCCACTTCTCAAAATCAGATTAAATGATTAAACGTCATATTTTTTATTTTATTTGAATCCCATAAGGGTTAGGCCAAGAGCTTTTCAGCACACCCTTGTAAAACTTTATGCTAAGTTCAGTACAGACTAAGGGGAATAACTCTTAACTGTTCTCTTGTCAGTCTGTCAGTTATGTGCCATGCGTGATAGACGCTTAGGCAATTGTATCTTTTGATACATGACTGACGAGGCAGATTTTTTCCCACAGTAAGTTGCCATTTCTTTCTGTGGAAG